GAGAGAGAGAGAGAGAGAGAGAGAGAGAGAGAGAGAGAGAGAGAGAGAGAGTTCTTCTGCTTCCTCTTCTCAGTCCACCATCTCCCCCTCACACTCTCGCTACCTGACTTCACTGCATCAGCAGACTACGAGAGAGAGAGGGATTGATGACATTGGATCCAGACTCGACACTGAGCTTCAGACATTTTGACAAGGGACTATTTGGGACTTGTAATGAAGACTTGGTGTTGACCACATTCACATCTTCCCCCTCTTCTTCGTCTGATCCCCTCCTCTTCGTCTGTGTATGGTCTGGACCTGGCGGATTCTTCCTGTGTGTAGCGCCAGGCCCCCTTCACACCTTGTGATGAGGATGATGTATGTTTGGTCTGCATTGCGACATTGATTGGGCTAGTCATTGGTATTCTAGCATTCCGCTGCGCTGTCTTGTACTACGTGAGAGAGGTCAGTCCCGGTCATGTCAGGGCTTATATCTAAGTCTTCCACTGCGCTATTATGTGCCATTTTTGTATGTATCAGGATGTACACTGCTTGTTAAGATTCCACTAGCACTGCATTGTCCATTTCAGTCCTTTTTATCACATGGCGTATCCTTGGCTATATATATACATCGCCCAACTGGGCATGTATCACAGTCCTTGGTGAACTATGATTCCCCAACCATTTTGTCCTCAGCTCCAAGCGACCTCGTGAGGTTCCTTCAAGCCAAGGATCTGCGTTTCACGGAGAGGAGAGGGCAAACACGTAGAGAGACTTTACAACGGTCGAATCCTGATCGTGGCGGCACCCTATTGGCTGAAAGCCTCAAGCACAACTGTTTTTCTTTTTGGGAAAAGTTATAAAACCTTCCTGTGGCGAAACCTTTGTAGTCATTTCACCCCAAACGGAACAAAAGGTGCTGTGGTCCCCAAAACGACTTTTCATTTCATTTTTGCACCCTGGCTGGGCGGGTAAAGACCACTGGCAAAAATGGCCGGAAATTGTTTTACGGGGTGCAAAAATGATGCCAAAAGTCATTTTGGGCCCTGCGGCACTTTTTGCCCCGTTTGGGATGAAATGAATACAAAGGTTTTGCCGCGGGGAGGTTTTAGAAATTCGAGTGTCCATTTCGTGAGGAAGCGGAGCTACACCGAGCTCATGAGAATTCGCCAGCCGAGAGTAGCGGGACCAGACCCTATGCCCTGAGCCAGTGACGTGAGCTAAGACTATTTTATTTTAATTTTAAACCACCAGGCTGCACTTTTTCCTGCTTGAAAAACAAATGCCTGCCGGTTAACACGGGGGGCGGGCAACCTCGGCACTACTGGGGCAAAATGGCTGGAGGCGCCAGCCAAATTTGATAGCATGTCGGTTCTTTTGTTTTTTGGCACGCAGTTCAAATGTAGGCTCGGCACCGACCACTGAGAAAGGTACAGGCGGCTTAGTAAAAATTTCAATTGCCTGTTGAATCTGGACAGGACGGCCTTTCAGGCGTTTTTGATTGTCTTTATAGTACTATGGGGAACCCCGTAGCCGCCACATCCGTGCTCAAGCCTCGAACGAGGGAACATGAGGGAGCTGCTCCCACCAGCAGATGCGATACCTGCTACAGCAGGCCTGCGTGCCTTACCAACTGAGCTTGCCCACTGGATTAAGGTCTGGACCCCACAGGCATGCTGAAAAGCGGGGGTTTTGGCGCGGATATTTTTTTCAGACCCCAGAGCCGATTGGATGTGGCCAGGAAAACGTTGAGCAAACTTCCACTCGGTGCAATGATGGCACAATGATGGCGAAATGATGGCGAAATGATGGCGAAATGATGGCGAAATGATGGTGAAATGATGGCAAAATCCTCTGTGTGGGAGCAGCATGATACCTTACAAGGTGTGCTGTCTCTGCGTCATGTTCAAAGATGACACAAACATTGGAATGGATGAATGGTTTTTCATCTTTCCGTACAGATTTGGGAAATCTTGGATCGCTCTGAACACTACCTATTCGGCCTAGAAAGGTATAGTTGAGGCTAGATTTGTTCATGTGTGATCTGGCGCCCTGAGATGGGTGAAGAGGCCTGAGAGCTGTGCTGTTATGTCAATTGGTTATTTATGGGAGGCTGGGCCCGGTTCCCAGCAT